CGTGCGCATGCGCACGCACGCACACACACACACACTAATGCATCTGGTTTCATTTGCTTTAGATCACTCTATACTGTATTTTCTTCTTAAAACAGGCTCAGGGTCATAATACGTCGGCATTAAAGCCACCCAGATTTCCCAGATCTACTGTACTATTTAGCTCAAGCACCTTTCTTTGCGCCCTTTTAGAAATTATGACTGAACTCTCCTTTTACCTGAGGGTAGGCCTCTTCAAAAGCCCGATCTGGAGTCATATGTTTAATGACATCAGCTAAAACGGTATTGACTTCGCGCTTCTGCAGATGCAATAAAATAAAATAGCATCACAGTGGTCATAAATTCAAAACTATACAAAGCCAGGACAAGTATATTACGAAGCTGAATAACTGAGCAGCTTTTTCCTACGTGACTAGCATCAAACAACTGGAATTCTTTAAGGCAGGGCAAATCATATTTTAAGACAATGCTGGCTGGGGAAGCTTATGACAGTTCAAATCTATTGCATCTGCAAAGTGTGATAGATTTGCAACCTTCTACGCTGAGAAGGCAGATTTCAAGATTTAATCCAATATTAAAGCTTGTAATACCAAGAAAGTACTCATGTTTTAGGACTGGATATCCTACCATGCAGATGTAATAGCTATGATATATTGCTGCAGATATTTACAGATTAATGTACACCACCAAACTGGAAAAGCTACGGAAACCAATTACAATTAGAACTCCGAGATTTGCTCTTTTTTGTTCCACTCTGGAGACAACTGTTCCTATTGCTATGTCAAAGTTCACTAATGACAAATGCATGATGTTACTTTCAAGGTCATTCATTCTCACTGCCTCTTAAACACTCCCCCAAGAGATATCAGCTTGACCTGTGAGCAACATCTAGATAAATGCCAGGCGTTCCTACTTCCACTACAGCAGTAGCAAATGCTATAAACTGTCATAAAGGGGGGAAGAAGGGAGAGAAAGGAAAGAAATTAATATTGAAAAATGAAGGGCTTAAATCCGCACCTACCGTAAAATGCCTGCAAGTATATTCCATCCAGATTTCTGCACAATTTATATAATCCTAAAAATAAATGCATGGGCATTACATTTCAAGGCACTTTGACATGTTTTCACCCCACCCACCCTGCTTTTTCCATGTTTAGCTGATTCTCTAGGAAATGAGGTCAAAATATTACAACCATCTATTTATTTATTAGATTTATATCCCTCCTTTTATTCAGGAGCTCAAGCTGGCATACTCTGTGCTCCCTCCTATCGGGGGGAATAGAATTTGAGTCTTCCCACTCCTGGTCCAGTACCTTTACCATGGAACCACCATGGCTCTTGGGCTGAGAGGGAGGGACTGGCCCAAGGTCTCCTTGGGAGCTTCTGTGACTCTAGAACCTCAGTATTCCTGCTTCTAGTTCAACTCCTTCAAAGCTGCACCACATTGTTCTCCATAAGTGAGGCCAAGAATAGACAGAGGAGGACCTACAACATTGCCAGCCCCCCCCCCCAACTCTTTGCTAAAATCCTTTAATAAAACCTCAGGTAGGAAGCTGGTCTGGTGCAAATCAAAGTATCAGCTACTAATATAAGATTGATTGCCCACAATGTCTTTGGGCCCCAGAAATGTCCCACTAGGATGGCACACAGCATTCTGAAGAGGAAGAAACTAGTTTGCTTTCTGGAAAACGGATATTTGGGGCCTGGATACATTCATCCTGGTGGCCATTCTGAGAACAGACAAGTGGGAGCCACTCAAAATTTCAAACATACCCCCAGCCCTAACTCTGAGCTAGGCAATATTCTTAAGAGAGAATGTTTCTAATTTACAGTGTATTTATTTCAACCATCTGTCACTCCAGCTAAGTTGCCAAATTCTTCTCTTACTAATAACCCACCTGTGGACTCTTTAACTTTGTAATAACTTTCCAGGCTTCATTTAAGATTTGAAGCCGGTCGCTTTCTGGGGGGTCAGCTAAGGCCAAGTTCTGTCCCAGAGAGCAGAAGAGAAGATGCTGTGAAAATAAAATGAGTTGCATGCCCGTTTTACTGCCTTCATTCATGTTCTCACTTGGATAAAGAACATTAGTAATAAAAAGACAGATATTTGTTTTGTAAAAGAGAGAGAGAGATGGGAAATACCATCAGGGTAAAAATTTGCTATCCAGTTGAAAGAAACTTTGGTTAAATTCTTACAGCTTTTAATCAGTTTAAACTACTTAACATTTTTTGTTCTGAATCAAAAAAGCAACAACTTCATTTTTCGATGAAGCACACACTTGTTGCATGAGCAAAATCTCAGGAAGAGGCTTTCTCTCCCTGTGAGGAGAGTACTTTAAAGAATCAAGTTTCTAAATCTATTAAACTATTACAACCATAGTGGATCCCTTCTGCAAAGTTGTGCCCAAGACAGAACCAGCTATTGGCAAAAGAGCGGCTATGGAGAAGTCAAGTGCATATCCCCAAAAGATTTTTGAGCCATAGCACTAGAGCAAAAGACCATAATGCACATTTCATGGAACTATTTGGGGATCTATGAAGTGGCTGACAATAAAAGAGTTTGAGTGGAGAGGCTGCAGAAGAATTTACCTTGGGGAACCCAGATTCGTCACACTCTTTTATCATACCAATAAAATCCATCGACCTTGCAGCGATAAATTCAGCTCTGAAGGCAGACATGACAGAATTCAAGAGCAAGGCACTGGAAGAAATATTATTCAGAGCATTACAAGACAGCCCCCCAATTGATACTTTATATGTTGACCTTTACATAAAAATGTACCCAGAACATACAACATTTACGCCGCTACTGCATCCTTGCAGCCAGAGACCATTAGTGGCTTGTTTGGTAAAAGCGAAAGCTTGCTCTTTTTCCATTCTCTGGATCAGTTCACTCCCTGTTTCTGGCATGTTGCAAGAACTACAGAAGTGAGCAGCAACAAAACCACTTGTCACCCTTGAATGGCAAAAAACTGGGTCAAGGCATAAACCCATCCAAACAAAAGAGTTCTCAGACTTCCCGGCTGAAGGGGAAGGAGCCAAATGAAGAGCCTAGGAAAGGCTTCAAAAAACATTTTGCATCTCAGTTATGGAGGGTGGAATTACATATGCACAAAGCAATATATTCCCTCCTACATATATACTGGAGCACTGGTGTATTCTGTCCAAGACGGGGCTAAAGGACGTAGGCCTCTGATAACCACATGCTCAGTGGGCAAGAAGTCTCCAATTCAAAACAGCTGTACTGTAGCTTCATCAGCTGCCAGTCAGGGTTGACAATGATAGTTTTTACTGTATGCCACCCAGAACTGTTGTAAAATTGAGTGGCCTTATACATTTCTAAAATAAGAAAGATGACAAAAATGTTAGAGCACGGAACCAGGTTACTTGTGTGGGACCACCTCTTCTTGAAGTTATCTGCCCATCCCACCAGGCCAGATAGGGTGGGTGTGCTCCAGGTTTCTTCTCTTGTATGTTGTCATCTAGTGGGACCTAGGAAGCACACCTCCTCTGCAGCTTTTCTCCCAGAGATACAGCAGGTTCCCTTCCTCCTTGCCTTCTGGAAGGCCTTGAAGAGCTGGCTCCTCCCACAAATATGGGGGCAGGATGAGGCTGGAGCCCAACAAGATGACATGTTGACATGTGGGAGAGTGTAGCCACAGCACCATGAGTTTTTATTGTAATTGGAGCTTTTTTGTGTGTGTGTGACTGTTTTTATTGTCTTGTGAACTGCCCAGGGTTGTGGTTACAATGGGGGGGCGCTATATAAGTCTTTTTAAATAAATAAATAAAGCAAGGGTTTTTTTGTACAAAGCGCAGGTCTCTTGTAAGGGCTGTTGGGTGGAGGTCGGCCAACAGAAGATAGATCCAGGCAGACTTGCACAGGCACGGGCACCATTTCAAAAGCGAATGTTTCTTCTTCCTGTCCCCTTAATGAGGGCCAATGCCCCCGTTCATTGGAGTATCTCCAAAGGGACCAAACCAAACCTCCACCGACCCTACTCTTTGGGGCAAATGGGCAGGACTGACTGCTCCTTGACTGGGACCCTGGAATACAACCACTTCCATCCAAACTGATGCTGATGCCACAAGCGGAAGGACCCGGCCTTTCCTGAGATAAAAAATAAACTTAGAGCGTGGCACTTACTTGTTGCCCAGCTTCTTGCATCTCTCCATCATCTCTGTCAGCAATGCCTATGAAAGGGAGAACAGAAAAGCAACAAAAACAAAGGCAAACAAAGCCCCTGGTATTGCATCTGCTGTATTTTGCAGCAAAATAGCAGCTTTGGGTGGCATGAAACGAAGCTTCTGGAGGGTTTAAGGCTCCAATATTGCTGTGCTGCAACGAGGAAAATAATGGAAAACACCTCACCACAAAATGCAGCCCCCCCCCAAATTTTGCCTGCACATGCTGGATTGGAGCATGAATTTACAATTCTTTAGTTTCCTACAGCCCATCAACATCCCAATTCCAAACATCCCAACCCTTTTTGCTGAACGTGGAGCATGAAAAAAAATCCCTAACTCAAACTGCCATCAGCTTCTGGTAGAGGCAATTTCCCTCGCTCTCCTTGCATGCTTTTCATCACGTGATTTGTGTGCAGAGTTGTTTGCTTATTTATGTATTTTATGTGTTGGATGCCGAGATGCCCGATTCTTTAAAAAAAAACCTCCGGAGAGCTTCCATTATTTAAAAGAATAACTTAAGTTAAATAAGGAACATGACTGCCCGGATAAAACCACACAAATTCACATCCTGGAACGAACAAACAAAATTCACCAGCGGCTCCACAGTCACCCTAACCCCAGGCCTGGGGACAGAATCAGGTCTTAAGGGACTTCTGGAGCATTTTGAGAGAGGGAGCCATACGGATCTCCAGGGAGATGCAGTTCCACAGGGCAGGGACCATGAGAAATGCTTACGGGTTCAATCTTTACATACCCACTCATCGGAACAAGGAAGCATGTTCCGGCAGGGATCTCTTGGATCAGAGAGGGCAGCCATCGGTGGTCCTAACTCATCGCTCAACAACTAGCTTCTGCTACAACACACATTCCCTCCATCTCTCCTCTGCTAAAGAATATTCTAGCATAAAAAGGTTTCTACTTCCATTCAGGAAAGAACAAAACAATTCCCTTTGCTATCATCAGCTTAACAAAAGGGTGTTCTCCCTGAGAGCAATTTTTTTTTAAGATGTTTTATTCCCCCTTTGTTATTTTTATAAATACCTCAGGGCGGCGAACATACCTAATACTCCTTCCTCCTCCTATTTCCCCACCACAATGACCCTGTGAGGTGAGTTGGGCTGAGAGAGAGGGACTGGCCCAAAGTCGCCCAGCCGGCTTTCACCCCTCAAACAGGACTAGAACTCACCGTCTCCTGCTTTCTAGCCTGGCGCCTTCACCACTAGACCAAACCAGCCCTCTAATTTGCATTTACAACACGAAGAACAAAACTGATTTCTGGCGAAGCATCTGTTGTTGTCTTTTAAGATGCATGGAAAACTGAGGCAAAAGCTCAGCTTGTGAAAGATTTTTGTATTTCCACATGGTTGCATTTCCACAAGCTTTTTTTAAAACAAAAAAGAAAAAAAAAGAAGTTGGCACATTGAAGTGTCTCATTAGAAATCAGAAGTCTTGCTTCAGATTGTCTTAAAGAAGCTATCATATTAAGCCGATCGAGTTTAAAAATAAAAGGAAGTGTCATCTGTATGACCAAAGTGAAAAAGGAGTGCGAACAATGGCACCCAGGAGGATTCCAAAGTAGGATAACAAGTTCCCTTGTTTTGTGCCAAGAAACAAGCTGGGCTGTAAAAACTGGGAAGGGTACATTATGCTGAGGGGTCTGATGAAGGCTTTGCATTCAAACTGTCTCAAATGCCTCTATGTGGTCGTCTGCAGAACGTCTGAGGTTGCCATAGTTTTATTTCGAAGTTAAAAAGAAATCCTACTAACAAAATCTGTGCTGGATTGGGGAACCCTTCAGCTATAAAACAGCCCAGCCTTGAGAGAAAAGTCAAGTCAGTTCCTTGTCCCCATCCCCAAATTAACTCTTTTTCTACTGAATATTAGCAGCTGAGCACTAGGGAGGAGGAGTGATTAAGGGGATAAAACCGTTAAAATTCCTTTCTCCACAGTGGGCTCCCTCTCATGGTCGGATCATTTTTCTTGACTGAGGAATGGCTATGCCACAGCAAAGAGAGTTTCTACCATAAGAAACTGCATCTATTCACTCCCAACGTCTCTAACGAAAACAGTGGGTGCATTCAAATTAACATTTTCCGTTATACAAAGACAAGAGTTATTGAGACCTTCAAAACCTTTTCAGAATGAGTTTTTTTTTTACCTCTGCAGCTCGGTAAGCAATGCACTGTAGAATCCAATCTATTGCTGGAGAATAAAGCGTTAGATATAATGGGATCTCGACACACTGTGCCACCAGCTGATTCTGGACAGTATCCCCGTGAACCTGTTGAACACATCCAAGGCAAATGGTCACGAAAAAGTCCAAGTGGTAGAAAAAAAGGAAGGATTCACCACACAGTCAAGGCATTTGATGCTGACCTCAAGGAAAACTCTGGGAAACCTGTTTCAAGATGAAACCATCCAAGGTCATAGAAATGTGAGAAATCCCAGTTTGGTCAGCTTTCCCACATTGAAGAAAATGAATGTGGAGATAGCTTCTCATCTGTCCTGCTTTCAAGTAAAGTTCCAGGATGGAACATAATCTGAACAAGCCAATACTGTTGTGGATTGGAAGTCACACACCCTGATTTGCAGACATCTTGAAGACTATGGCACCCTTTAAGTCAGCACCAGATGGAAAGTAAACCAAGTCCTACTATGTGGATGAACACTAGATGATTTGTAGTAGACTGACCAGCGTTTCTAATTCCAAGGTTCTTTAACAATACCAACAACTAAAACACTTTCTGTCTAAATTAGGGGGCTGGAAAGAACCTTATAGGGGAAACCAGGTGTGGATTTTGTAGCAATAAGGACATCATTTCATCTACTTACTTGTTTAAATGTTAGAAGAAAGTCAAAGAAGTTCTTGTTGAGGCTGTCTTTCAGATGAGGAGCCACTTCCATCCCAACCTGTGTTTGGGGAACCAAAGGAATGAAATCTGTTCTTTATTTCTTTTAATACAATTCTGTGCATTTCCATATTTCTTCGAAGCCTTAATAAAAAAGGGCCAGCGTATCATGGAAGATTAATTTTGTATATGGTAATGGCAGCAAGATTATTATATGCACAAAGTTGGACGAATATTGAATTTCCCACAATGGATGAATGGATTGTAAAACTGTCAGAAGTAGCAGAAATGGCAAAAATGCTAAAAGAAGAAAAAAATGAAATGATTTATGGATTTAATAACTGAAAAAGATGAGAATTTAATATGGGGTTGAAAGGATTTCTGGAAGAGATAAGAGGGAGGAGAGATGATGGGTTTGTCAATATCTATTGAAGAGAAGGTTGGAAGTCATTATTTTTCATAATTTTAGTTTTCTTTCTTTTTTTCTTTTCTTGCACCTTTTTCTTTTTTCTTCTTTTCTATCTTTTTCTTTAGATTTGTCTTTTACTTTATGTAAAAATAAATGTAAATTTTAAAAATGGGTCAGCGTATATGAAGACAAAGAACTAATGCAAATGTTTCTATCCATCCATCCATCTATCCATCCACATATGTAACTGGAAACAAGGAAATAAAGAAAATTGAAAAAAAGTTAAAGGAGCAAACAGAGGCACATGGTAGCTGCACTGTAAATAGGGAAGCAAAGAACTACATCCCATCACCCGAGCACCCTGCAGGGTAGATGAGATCCTAATTTATTATAGTTTAAAATTAGGAAGCGGCATCTTGCCCTGGAGAAATGTTCAGTGGTGGTCTAATCGCTTTTCTAGTGTTCTGTAAAACCAGATTGGTAAGAACAAAATCTCACCCTGCAGAGATATGCTCTAGCATAGACAGCCACCAGAGGATCACCAATTCCTCGGATCATGGAAGTCAATCGGGGGAGGCATTCCAAAATTCCCCTAAAAAAATAATTTGAGAAATAGGTTTCATCACTGAAGCTGAGACCCACTGACCGATTCATCTTCTGACAACCTCCAACGCATATGATGGTGGCATCTTCATCCTGGTCACCCTTAAACAGTGTAATACTGAAATATTCCAAAATATATTTAGCAGCTCAGTTATCCCAAAGCCACTGCAGCAAACACAGCAAATCGCTCAAATCTAACAGAACATCCTGTGCATTCCTCCCAAGGGGGGAGGCTGAAGGTGATGTGAAGAAGCCCCCCCCCCCCAATAGAAGAGCTTATCCCAAGGTTCATGAAGCCCTTTACCCTGCTACTCTTTCATTAGGCTGTTAAGCTTTTAGCACTAATAGAGGTTTTACTAGAGGAAACAAGCATATGCTACCACAGAATTACCCAGACATTTGCTGAGAAATACTGCAAGGTTTTTATGTTACTTGACTTCTCAAGGCCACTGGAGCATCACAGTTTACATTTTTCAAGACTACAGTTACGTAACACCAAACTAGAAAGAACTCAACAGAAATTATACAGCAAAAATTTACCCTCCTATCAGAGTGTTCATCCCGTAGCCCTAAAGTCCTCCCTGCTATTTGTGATCCATGGAGCCTTCTCTGATCAGTCTGCTAAATTTCAGGGCCCAATCAATGAAAAAGCTCTTTGCATCCCAGACATATGTCTTTTCTCCTATTTTATGTCCCACGCAAAAGAGACTATCAGCATGAAATGAAATTGCAAATAGATGGGGGAGAAGTCTCAAGCCAGAATCCGTGTTTCATTGCCACATTCATTCCATTTATCTAACATACATTATCCAATGCTATCAAGCCTTACGTTTTGGAAAGGAATTTGTTGCACTTCAGTATTGCTGTCTCCACATAACTGGTACAGAGTCAGGGAAAAAAAAAAAGAATCACGAATAAAATTATACATAGCAAAAGAAGCAGATAATATATTTCCAGGACTGCTATAAAACCTTCCCTACATCAGGAGTTAGAGAAGCAAATAAGTTAAACCCATTCTAAAAAATTACATAATCTGCAAGTACATAGATGACCTCTATTTCACCCAGACCCTTCCTATAATCCAGCCTGCTGAAGAAGGAAAAATTCTTTTGACATTCATACTTAATAGTTTAATTCTCTGGACTTCAAGAAATCTATATATTGATCAGGTTTTTTTGCAGACATTTCACCCCACATCCCAGCAAAACTTCCTATGGCCACATCTATACACACACACAGAGACAGATAGATACCACTAATAAATCTGCTAACTTGGTTATTACTTTAGAGCAGTATTTCTCAACCTTGGCAACTTTAAGATGTGTGGACTTCAACTCCCAGAATTCCCCAGCCAGCATGGTTGG